GTTCGCGGTGTGTGGGAACTTCAAGTGCATGGGAACTGCCATACCGCTGTCGATAACAAAGGAATGGATAATTCCGTGCTTGACCCAGTCCATAGTCTTCTGAGGCGGGTAAGGGAGGAGCTGGGTTTGGCGCGACGCCAGCCCATCCAATTCATGAGGAGAGGGAAGAGACAACAGCTGGTGGAAAACCTGCTACCTCCATGTCAAAGCTAGCCTCCCTCCTCCGCCCCCCCCCCTGAAGCGCCTCAGCACCCATAGAGAACAAAATCGTAGTACCAATTGTATGATAGTATTCCTGAATGATACGGAACGCGTTCACCTCCGCCCCCTCCTCCCGCCTCCCTGCAACGCCTCAGCACCCATAGAGAACAAAATCGTAGTACCAGTTGTATGATAGTATTCCTGAATGATATGGGACGCGTTCACCTCCGCATTCTCTTCCCATGTCCTCCATGAAACTGTTTCCAAAGACTTAACTCGCGGAACGTTTCCATGGGCGAAAAAGAACAGTAAAAAGGTGTAATTATCGACCGTAAAGAACCAACAAGTCAAAGCGTTTACAGTACCCCTGCGACTCATGGTCACACGCATTCCTCATTTTCTAGACACTAATGCGATTTGAGAGTTCTCCCGTCTAGGAAAATAACTCGCTACCATTCAGTCAACAGCGAAAGATGACGATCAGCACAATAGCGTGTGGCGGCAGTACCCTGTTACTGGGCTATAAGGCGCCCCGACTGCTTTAAAACTACCTTTTTAATAGTTTTAGAATCGTATGACCGGCTTTCAAGCGCTTGTTATCCAGAACAGATCACCCATTTAAGCATGAACGCCCAAAAAGTACGCTTGGAGGCGAAGATGCGCCTTATATCCCGGAAAATAGAGCGAGTGCTATTATTGTCTGTGTGGAGATGGACCATAAAATCTCTCCAGTTTTGGGCTGGTCCTTATTAGTGAAGCTTTAAAAACCTCTCAAAAGGCTTTAACCTCTCAATATTTCAGAGGGAGTTTTCTACCCCTAAAATCTGGAGTCCTTTATATAGAAAAGAAATAGAAGGTTGGAGTGGAGACGATTAGCGACTAGGTTGCCGTCGATCACATCAGACGAGTACATGACACATGTGCCAAAGATTTCATGAACCTGGTTGATAGCATGAAATTCGGCGCAGTTTGGTTGGGGGGGGGGCATTCTGCACTTTCACAATGTCGTGTCAAGCCATCAAGTAACGATCTGTGAAATCTTGTGAAGACACGAAGTGATACCAGTCGAAGTTTGTAAAGATTGTTTGTACTTGTCAGATCTATTGGAGTATACCTGTCAACTCTTGGAAAGTACTAACACGATGATGGAAAGTAGTGAAAGTACAAGATGCTCCTCCTTTCTATTCAAGCCGAACGGCTCCTGGAACTCCTTCTTATCAACCGAGACATTCACAGCCGAAGCTGGGAGGCATGCCGAAACACAATGCTTGTTTAATGGTATCAGACTAGTTATTGTTTGCCTGTATGTCATGCGAAGAAATTCCGAATGTGGAGGGCGATTCGTGAGCAGCTTCTTGGCACAGATTTATCGAATTCCTGCTGTTGCTGGGTTGTTGCCGTATGTACATGAGAGTTGTCCGTATACCAGGGCACGTAGGCAGTTGAGGAATTTTTTTGTGAATATGCCCCCTCTATTGTTCTCACTCTGATACGTACTTCTTCTCAATACCCCATACTACCCACCACGTTCCTGAATCCTACCAACATCTCACCACTTTTCCGAAGTTTTCTTTCAAAAACTGTTGTCGGACGGGGGTGCAGGAGAAAAACGGGGATA